TTAAGAGGAGAACTTGGTTGAATCGACGTGGTATGGCGACGACGAGGTGAGAGTGGGTTCACCTCGCTGGATTCGACGCGGTATGGCGGCGACGAGGTGAGAGTAGATTCACCTCGCTGGATTCTACGCGGTATAGCGGCGACGAGGTGAGAGTGGATTCACCTCGCTGGATCTGACGCGGTATGGCGGCGACGAGGTGAGAGTGGATTCACCTCGCTGGATTCGACGCGATACGAAAAGACGCAACCCTACAAAATATAACCACCAAACGGTTATATTTTAAAAACATTTTTAATGAAACAATGCAACTCTTGAATATAACTCTCGAAAAGACGCAACCCTACAAAATAACCGTAATGAAGTTATTTCAAAAATAACTGTGGAAGGTAGAATCACCACAGTTAGTATTTTTCCAGGGTTGAAGGACTACTGAGTCTTCCAAATGCGAAATCACAGAACAAGAGATTGAAGATCGGTTTTTATTGCTGTTCTCGTTAAGCTTTCAAAGTACAATAGTTTTTGTGTAAAGAATTGCGGATCCCCCGTTCTCGGAGGAATTACATTAGTTTTTATAGTCGACTAGGTCGGCAGCTAACCCTCAAGAAATAAGGAAGTCTTCCTTATCTTTTAAAGTCGGCCGCGTGGAGCGGGCTGCGCCAACCCGCTCGGCCCATCTCGCCATGTCTTGGGCTTGGCATGTCTTGTCACGTTCCGGGCTTCCTCGTTATGGGCTCTGCTAGTGGACCTCCTTGTCACAACAGCTTTTCATTTCGAACTTGTCTTTCCCNCCGGGCAATGTTCTCGGATTTGANAGGGTTACCGCCGTGGCTTCGCCGTTCCGGTTGCAGTGTCACACCGCCGCCTTGTCCGGTAAGTCGCCTCGTCGGACATTGGATAACCGGGTCGACTAGTCGTTTCCGACCCAGTTTTCATACTTAGTCATTTTCCAGGTTTGATCTTCCGGGGGTGAAATTCGACCGCCACAATAACTCCCCTCAACCAAAACCTATAAATAGAAGGCGGTTTTCCGAAGAAGAGACAATAAAAAATATTCATTTTTTGGGGATTTATTATAGGGAAATTGGCTCAAATAACCTAAAAAAAAATTATAATCTAAAATCTAACTAAAAACCCTCCATCTAAGGGTGATAAATGTGGCCACATCACCCCATTTTACCAACAATTTAAATATTTTTTTTTTTTTTGGTTATTGAGCAAAAAGACCTTTTATTATATATAG